ATTTTGAGCACTTTTGTGGCTTCAAACAAAAAAAGAAGAAGATATATACTCTACCTTTAAATCAGCTTAGCTGGGTAATTGCAAATGTCCCCATAGATGTGCCTTTAAGTGGTCTTTGTACCATGCATGGTATTTTTGCTCTTCTGATGACTGTGAACCTTGAAGGAGAATTTACATTCCTACTGTTTGTCATCTAGACGCACATGAGAGGAAAAGCAAAAAAAAAAAAACTCTGGCCAGTCTTGAGTTTGACTCCAGCCAATCTATGCCGACCCTGGGAAGGCGACGTGGCTATTGATCCACCCCTTGAGGCTTGGGTGTCCAGCGCATATCAGGTGCCTCCCGTCATACATGAAGTCAAGAGCAAGACCTCATTTCCAACCAGCAATTCTGATCGTTTGGCACGGAGGCGCACATGTACGGCAAATTGCGAAACCCGGGTATCAGGAACTCGCAAACAGATTCAGATGAACTGAAATGAATCCGCGTGTGGGCACTTTTGAGGCGAGTTCTAAAATTCAAATGTCCAATAAGTGCACTGCTACAAATATGCATGCATGCACGTATGCATTATCTGACACAGGAGTCAGTTCGTAACCCTACACTTGCTACCTAGAACATCGCCCATCTGTTTGCCCATTTCACTTCTTTGGATTGATGACACAGAATAATGTGAAAAGAATCCGAAAATAGATGAAGTTTTTATCTCTGAGAAAGGCATGGAGATGTACAGTATATCTCCAAAAGTCATTTCCCAACTCTACTTCTAAGTCACATTTCCCTACAAGTTGGCGTTTTGCATATTGATGCTAAAATGCCTGAATTTTGAAGGCAGTGCTTGGGCTAGTCCGAAAATTGAAAACTCTCAATACTGTGTGTGCAAAACAAGAAAATAGACTGGCACATGAAACAACCAGTCCAACACCCCTTAAGTACTGCATCAGTCTACTGTGTCAACAGAAACAACTGGTACCGGTCTCTAGCTAGATATTTCTAAACATCTCTCCATAGTCTGCCACCCGACAACCGAAGAGGTTAGTCTTTTCGAACAGTTGTACATGCAGTCTTAGGCTTCAAATTGAAATCAATCGGCTTCACTCCGTGTGCAAAAGTTTGAAGAAAATTCTCCTATAGAGGACCTTGTCTTTGCCTCATGAACATTTTGTTGGCTAAAGTGGGAGTAAAGATCCCCTGAATTTTGTTTTGCATGTTTTTCTACACTCATGGTCCCAGTCTGTGCTTGCACCCATGTGACTGGAACTGACTACAGTGACCAAAGAGGAAATTATAAGAATTAAGTTTCTGAAAGTCAAGTAATTGTAATCACCTCCAGCCACTGTACAGTTCAGTGTACACTTTTGACAAAATAAGACATTAAAAAGTGGCCAAAAAATCATTGTTTGTGACAATCCAATTTTTTTGTTGACAATGTGGGGCTTTGCAAGTTTGTGTACGTGTACGCATGTGACTTTTTCCTTGACTTTTGTAAAAACTGTTATTTTATTGAAATTACATAAAAGGAGAATACTTAAAGTTAGTAAGCCTAGGCCTACATGTATATGTTTTTTCAAAATTTCGATTTTCTTTTCGGAACGAAATTGAAAGGAATATTATAATGTTGTGTAACAAATAAATTGGCTTGTTTATTGCAATGACACTGTGACAACAGAAAGTGAGTCCATTACGCAGGTCAGTTACAACTAAAATAGAGAGGGGGGGGGGGAGGGGCAAAATGACACCATCTCATCAATTACATTTCAATAAACAGTTGTCAAAAAAGAAACAGATGGGGTTGCTCATGCGTGCACGCAATCTATTTTTGCTTATTCAGCAAACATAGATGTTGCTTCAATTACAACAGTGGCCCCGGGAATATGCAGCTTTTTTTATCAGACTTTTTTAATAGACTAATGCCGCAAAAAAAATTCCGAGGTGGCACTGTGGTGGCGCGAGGCTCATGCGAGGCGCCCTCGGGTAATATGCACGCACTCTGGGCTGCTTCAACCAATACTTTTACCGAAATGCGCGCGCCTCGCCTTTAAGAATGCATTCGGCGTGCAAGCGTGGCATCATCTCAAAATTGCCTTCTTATGTTGTTCACCGGATTACACTTTACATTTACATGTAAAATTAGTTTAAACAGACGCCACTTTTTTGGTTGTGTACAAAGTCTATGGAAAGCCGAATGCATTTTCAGAGTATTTTCTAACAAAATTTGAAATTTTTCTCAGTCCTAGATTCATTTTCAATATTTCTGCAATGACTGACCTTCATTGAGCTTATTATGATGAAAAAAGTGGCGTCAGGATCCAACATTTTTTCCTTTTTCTCCGCACAAATCAATCACCATGAAAATATTAATTTTTTAGTACAACACAATAGTCATCATTTAAATAAATAAATGAAAACTGAAAACAATTAACAAGTTACTTAAGTACTGACAACCACTCCCCCCCCCCCCAAAAAAAAATCAGAAATAGCCAACTGATTTAGGCCTAGCCTAGCCCCATAAATGTGGCCTATTTACTGGACTACCTCCATAAACATAGGCCACACATCCACATGTACAAAAACGTGTCGACTTTGCCAAATTTTGATTTTCACATTTAGGCTTACTTTTTACGTTTTTTTTTGCTTTAGAAGCATTCTCAGCCTCTATATAGGCTAATCAGAAAGTGCTGCCTTTTTCAGATGTCTAATTTTTGTGAAATTTCATTTTGAAATTTTGATACGCAAACGTGTGCAAATGTATCTGGAAATTTCACGAAAAATGGACATCTGAAAAAGGCAGCACTTTCTGATTAGCCTATATAGAGGGTGAGAATGCTTCTAAAGCAAAAAAAACCTACAAAGTAAGCCTAAATGTGAAAATCAAAATTTGGCAAAGTCGACACATTTTTGTACATGTGGATGTGTGGCCTATGTTTACGGAGGCAGTCCAGTAAATAGGCCACATTTATGGGGCTAGGCCTAGCCAATTTTAGCATTGTGTACAACTATATTGTCGTTCATACTGAGCCTCGCTTCACAGCATTTTACTTGCCAATAAACTCGATGCAGAAAGATTCCCATATCTGGCCATCACTTGTCACCCTGTGCACTAACCCTAGTCCCTATGACTATGAGACTGGTCTGAAAATTTCCAAGTGTTTCCTCAGTAAATACGTATTTCCCCTACTAAATTTGACTTTTTAGGACATATTATCACATTCTGATGGCTGATACTAGGTCACTGGAGAGAAAAATTAATGATGGCCAGATATGGGAATCTTTCCAACTATACAATAGAATGTGCAACAATTATAACTAGAAATGTGTTTGTGGACAAACACAAGCTGTTTCGGATATTTGAAATACTCTGTGTGCGTTATGAACAATCAGTGACGTCACTACAAATGTCATCTGTAACTGCACATTGTACGTACATGTAAGTTACAACCAAATCGAACATTTTCGGCCTGTAAAAGAAAATGCCCCTTTAAGGGACGTCACATGACATCTGATGATGAGGTCACTTCAATTTCCATCTAAAACACATCCATGTGAATGTGCATACCAACTTTTAATTGGACTTGTACTTCCGAAGTTATAGCGATTTAAAAAATGCACATTTATTGTCAAGTCACTTGACACACGATGACGTCGTCGTTACGAATTCATTAGGGACCAACTTCGGCTGCTGGTCTTATATAGTGTCTGCCAAGTGTAAAGTCAATCAGCCATATAGAAGTGCAAAAGTGTATGGTTTGAAGAAAAACGTGTACAAAACCAATAGGGAAAAAATGCATATTTAATGTGATGTAATCTGACACCTGATGATGTCACGATCCCAAACCTCTTCTAGGACCATCTGTGGGTGGTAGTCTAAATGTGTACCAAGTCTCACGTCGATCGGATTTTCGAAAGTGCCAAAGTACAGTGTTTTAAAACGTGTACAAACCCTATGGGAAAAAATAAATCTTTAACGTGACGTAACCTGACACCTGATGACGTCACCGTCACAAATTTCTTCTAGGACCATCTGTGGGTGGTAGTCTAAGTAATTACTACGTCTGAAGTTGATCAGATTTACGAAAGTGACCAAAGTGGAGTGTTTTTAAACGTGTACAAAACCTATGGGGAAAAATGCATCTTTAATGTTACGTAACCTAACACCTGATGACGTCACGATCACGAAATTCTTCTAGGACAATCTGTGGCTGGTTGTCCAAGTATGTATGAAGTCTAAAGTCGATCGGATTTACGAAGGTGCCAAAGTGGAGTGTTTTAAAGTGTGTACAAAACATATGGGGAAAAATGCATCTTTAATGTGACGTAACCCGACACCTGATGACGTCACGATCACGAATTTCTTTTTGGACCATCTGTGGGTGTTGGTCTAAGTATGTACCAAGTGTTAAGTTGATCGGATATAAGAAAGTGCCAAAGTGTACTGGTGGAAGAAAAACGTGTACAAACCATATGGAGAAAGAGTCTGAAAAAGGAGAAGAAAAAGAAAAAAAAAGAAAAAAAAAAATCTTAACGAAAACAAGAGCTGTTTCGGTGTGTACACCGAAACAGCTAATTATATGGTGCTTCATTCCTATACAACAGCTGCTGAATGACCTCCCACAATCGAATTTGTTCTTTAAAAATATTCTGAAGTTGATATGCATGTTCCTTGCAAAGCTTGTGTAGCCATATGTATATATTTTATATTTGTATCTTAACAGTTGTAACAGGCAAGATTTCCATCCAAAAATATCACGCCAACTTCGACTAACTCGCCCAGCCTTGGTCCTGTCCCGCGCATAAAATCATACTAGTGGCGCGGCTGTTGCGTGGAACGCGTACGGTACGGACGGCCTGTTGTACGGTACAAAAGCCCGATCGCCTACCAACATCATGTCCAAGGCATGGAGGAATGCTCCATGAGTAATCGGTCGCAAAGTTACAACGCTGATCATGGCACAATTTCGGTACAAAATTTAAATCAGCTGAAGCAAATGGAAGGTACTTACATTATGCAACATTCAACGCCTATCAGAAGAATCCGATCTGTGGAAATGTCCACTTTTCACTGGAAATCTGCAACGCGAACTGGCCAGACGTCTCGTTCCAGCACACATGTATCCAGACGTAAACATTGCACACACAATGCAGGCCTGCGTGAAATCCATTGAGATATGAACATGTGCTGCAGATATGCTAAATTTTGCCACTGCAAATTCATATCAACAGAGGGCGGGCTATCCATTTTACGGCGCCAGCACTAGACTCCAGAGCTCTCTGTGTGAGCGAAATTCTGGTAAATTTCACGTTTTTGTTTGACTTTTCAGAGATTACCTAACCATGTCCAAATAATGCCTGTGAAATACTGAGGCCAAACATTTTGTGACAGGAGAGTTTGGAGGTTTGAAATAATTGAGAGTTTTGGTTTTTGTTGTAGCCTAGCCTGTAGCCGAAGACTGTGGGTTGAGACAGGAATATCTCAGAACTGTTAGGCCTATCTTTTCTTTCTTTCTTTTTTCTCGAGGGGGGGGGGGGGAGCAATTTGATGGATTGCCACAAAAGTTAATGCAATTAGGCAAGAGATATACCTGGTTTTTATTTTAACCCCTTATATCCGTTAAATTTTGTGGGAAAATGTCTATTAACGTAAACAAACCTATAATTTAAAATTTTTACAACTTTTGAGATTACTTTTTTGTTTCTGTCATATGTACCCATGGGAAGAAACTTCAAAGTTTTAACAAAAATGGTTGCCATGGAAACTGTTATCACTGTTATCGTTTTTGCCTGTACTAATAACTAATGCATTTTCAACCGTTTGTGTTAAAAAATGAACTAGGCCTATTCAGCTTCTTGTGACCGTTTTCAGCGAATACTACTTTCCAATGATTAGGTTTGTTTTATTTGATTCATTATTTTTATTTGATAAACTGTTGTTTACATAATTTACCATAAATAGATTAAACAAACCATAGATAGATTAAAGGCTATAAGGGACACAAGTTCAAATTTGTTGCCTGTGAGTTATTGGAAAGTATTTTTGTTGGATATGTCTGAAAGTTCACTTTTCCATAGTGACCAAAACAAAATGTACACTGTATGATGTATCCAAGGAGTATTTCCCCAGCTAATTTAATGTACGAGAATATCACAAATTACTTTGTCAATGCAATGTGACATGTGCACGTGGCACAGCCAGTGGTGGAGCTACCGGGGAAGGGGGGGGGGGCACCATGAGGGGCATTTGCCCCCAAGCTTTGTCCTTGCCCCCACAGTTTGTCCCCCCCCCCCATTTTCCCTGAAAATTTTCTTCAGTGATTTATACAATTTGGGGCCAATGAAAGCATTAAAACATAGGTACTTAAGACATTAAAACATGCATGCATTTATACAGCCGTAGATAGTGCGCAGCCAACGTCTTTGTACATTTGTTATACATTTGTTATACATTTGTTATACATTTGTTATACATTCCTAACATTCTCAGATGACATCCTTAGGGAAAAGGGAAATACAACATTTAAGTGCAAACATTGAAAAATATAACTACCAAGTTGTAACGAAATACCTCACTAGGATGTTTATACATGACAGTCTAAAGCAACCTGTAAGGCAAAATAAAAAAAAAACATGTTTAGCGTCCTGCCTCTTTGACAAAAAGGAAGGAGGAGGCCCTTTTTTTTTTTTTTTTCTTTTCAAAATGGCCGCCCGACACGCTAGTCCTGAGTTCTGAGACGTAGAGAACCAGTTAATTAATATTTCACACGGGGTGAATGTATGATAGACTCTCGTGCAGACGCACGTGCTAATTGACTATTTCCACAGCTTTAAACACGGTATAAAAGTCTAAAAATACGATTTCTTTCGTCAGAGATCGTTAAAATTTATCAATTTTTGTCTTAAAAAAAAAAAAAAAAAAAAAAAGGAGGCGGCCTCTAAAAAGGAAGCGGGCGGGGACGCTAAACATGTTTTTTTTTTTACTTCGCCTAAAATAATGGCACCTGGTGCAAAGTCATTTTCAAGAATAATTGTACTTTTGTGTACATTTCCAAGGGTGGTCAGCCGACCACCGTAGGAAAAACCTAAATATTTTTCAACAAATTTACAATTTTTTTCATTCCAAAATGTGTTTGCTATTGCTTCCAAGTTCACGAACGGGTGCAGGCCAGCTAGACTGGTTCCCTTACCTTACAATTTTCTGGCATTTTTTATCCATTTCATCTTTAGTAAAGTCAGGGAACCAGACTACTCTATTATACTAACCCCCCCAAATAGTTCATTTCTTAAAATTCCAGCAAAAGCCAATGATGTACATTCCCTTTGTTCTGTTTATTTTTACTTCACCAGGCCTGTCAAATCCTGACACATGCTACTCATGCGGAATGTGAGGCCACTGGTCTGGAACATGTCCATTCGCCCAAGTTAGCGGTCAATCCTCTCAGTTCACCAGACCAAGAGCCACAGCCAGTCCAGCCATGGGTTACTTCAACAGGTTCCACGTCCCTGTCTCGCAAAGAGCCCTGTCCCCCATTGCTGGAACCAGCACAATGTCCCGCTAAAGGTGCATCAAGTGTCTCATGGCCAGCAACCATCAGTTCAAGTCCCCAACTCCCAGCGGGATCATCCTAGAAAGCCACAAAAAGTTAGAAGACAAGTTTAGCGATGTAGTTCAGGTACAATGCTCTTATAAATCCTTTACTTCCAAAGAATTAGAATCAGACACAATGAAATAGCTGACACAAAGGCAAATCATATATCTGTACTTCCAGGAACAACCCACATTTCTATATTCATTCCCAAGTCTAAAATGGATATACTTGGAGAAGGAAACACTGCATTTGTTTGCGACACCGACAACAAATATTCACCTGTCAAAATTCTGTGTAAATACATGTATGTCCGTTTGTAAAATCGAAATTGGTGAAGACAAATTTATTTTCACACCACAAATATTCAAGTTCTCGCATTTACTCATCTTGCATCCCAAAATGTTCCAGAGGGTTTGATAATGCAACATGGTAGATGGAAAAGAAAAGTAGCGAAGGATAGATATATCCAGCGAGATATTGTTGAGTGTCTGTCAATCTCTAAATCAGTTTTGTCCTAAGGTATAAAGAAAGTTGTAAAAGTCCCTGTTTTTAATGCCTGCTTGAATAAATTATGCGCAGATATTCTTCACCTAATATTGTGCACCGTATTCAATCGCTAGGAGTAAATAATCAAGAATTGAAGAAGTCAATGTGTGTATATATGTAGTCAGTGTGTGTATATATGTAGTTACCGATTTTGATCTAGAAAGAAGGGAAATTGTGAAATTTTTTGTATTTATGCCTTTTCCGAATCATGTCTTCTCAGATAAATTTTGCATGCAGACTTATTAAGAGCCAGAGACTAAACATGTTCTAAACATGTTACATTCACATACAGAGTATACCTGCTTAATGTGGTTATTGTGTTGTTCTAACCAAAATTTGTAGGCTGTAGTTTTTAAGATTGTTAAGTTCGTAATACTTGATCAAGAATTGAAGAAGACAAAAAAAGTGTTTATATTTTCATTATCATTTTTTTTTGCCTGAGAAGAACAAAAAGTGTGAATGTACAGTATTTTATGCCCGTTCATAAATTAGGTGCTCCAGATTTTGTTTTTTCTCGTGGATTAATTTAGATCAGCAAAGGTTAATATTTTGTTGTTATTAATAATATAAAACAGAGGAAGTACTCTTAAAGGGAATGTACATCATTGGTTTTTGTTGTAATTTTCAGAAATGAACTATTTGAGGGGTTAGTATAATAGATCAAATATTGTTACACTGACATGTTTGAAGTTTTGTGTTCGAAAATGCACGAAAAATCAAGAAAACAAAAATGCTCAAGTAGTCTGGTTCCCTGACTTAACTAAAGATGAAATGAATCAATTTATAGATGCCGAAAAATTATAAGTTAAGGAAACCAGTCTAGCTGGCCTGCACCCATTCATGATTTTGTAACCAATAGCAAACAAAATTTGGACTGAAAAAATATGGTAAATTTGGAGTAGCAGTTGAAAAATAGTTAGGTTTTTCCAACGCTGGTCGGCCGACCACCGTTGGAAATTGATACAAAATACAACTTTTCTTGAAAATGGCTTCACACCAGGTGCCATAATTTTACAGGATGCTTTAGACTGTAATAATACCAACAACCTAGTACAGTATTTCGTAAAAATTTGGTAGTTTTGTTTTTCGATGTTTGCAAATGTATATTCCCTTTAATATTATTGAGATGAGCGAAAGTGCAAAGCCGATTCCTACAAGGCCAGTAGCGATATAACTATATTTGTATATTTTTAGTATTTGATCGTAGCAGTTCGATTAACATATAAGTTATAGAAAATTGAGCAAGAAAAGAAATGGTGTTTATTTTGTTTGATCAGGCTGAGTGCTGAACAGTATTGAGGTGGAAGAGTTGTTACCAGGCCACGTCCTGAAGAGCCTAAAGGGCTTGAGCAAATTGCAGCATTCTCGCAGACCAAAGTACTTTTTTCAATTTACTGTATTACTTCGACCATAACTATTACATTAACTTCATTATTAATTCAATCCAAAAGAATACACTTTAAATTATATGCAACTGAAGATTATATTTCAAAGACAAACATTCCGATTTATGTAAGTAACTGCTCACTTTTAAGTTGTAATGAATTATTTGTCTTAGACAAAATGATGATCTTAATTTGTTGTAACTTATTTTTTTTTTTTAGAAAACAGCTTATTTTAATTTTCAAGAAAAGAAATACGATATAACTATATCATTATGTTATTACTTTAGTAGGAGCTTTATTTAGAAAGTATATTAATGAGTAAAATGTTGTTTTTTGGCTAACGTCATAGAGCAAGACCTACACCCATGCTGCCAATAAATTAATCCAACCTTATCTTATTGTGTCCCCTTTCTCTGGTCTCTCGTACAATTAATCTTAATAGAAGAAAAGGTTTTAATTGACCTAAAAAGTAATACAAATTTTAAAATTGAAAATTCCCACTCTGGGATTGAACCTGCAACCTTCAGATTTAGAGTCAGCAGTCCGTACCACTGGACTAAGCACCATTTCACACTCTTTAGAGGTTAATAAATTCAAAATAAAGTTTGAATTGACCCAAAAAATAATAAAATTTTAAAATTTTAAATTCCCAGCCTGGGATTGAACCCGCAACCTCCAGATTACGAATCCTCATTCTATACCACTGG